TCCCGCGACAGTGGTAATGTTTGATTGGTCTGAAGTTCGTGGGCGTGTTTGTTTGTGCTGAAAGCGCTCGGACACTCGGTTTAAAAGAAAAAAAATGACTCGCTTCCAGAGACCAGGAAGCAGAGTTTTATAAAGATAGTCAAACCGTGAAAAACTCATGAATGGAGATAAAACAGACATTGTGCTGGACAAGTGTTGCTGACAAATGCTAAATTCAAACAAAGCGGTTCTTGAATTGAGTCCAGTCCATGGCCTTAATATGCTTCACCTTTAGGCCACTGCTTTGTTGCCTTTGTCGAATGCTGGGAGACCTATGACTGAGGGGAGAAAATTCAGGTCCAAGTTTTTTATGATACTGCATATTGTCTCATCCAGTTTTACCTGGCTGTGGTGAGGTTGTACTTTACCCTGAACAGAAAAACATCTCCGAACCATAATGTTTCCACTTCTGATGCTCTTCAGCTCATACGCACTACAATATTTTCCCAAAATTTCCTCTAAATAATTCAGAAGCAGACTAGCAAAATTAAGACTGATCAAATAATTATTTTCCTGACCTGTTTGAGTTGCCGTAGTTTTGCCAGGTTCTGTAGTCCTCCATGAAGTCTATGTGTTCTAGAGCGATGTTGTAGAAGTCGGTGAAGGGCATTATGGGAGGTGAGGAGACACTGTTGGCTGCATCTGATGAAAAGATGAAGACAGAGTCAAAACATCATAACCACATCACGTAGCTGAGCTGGTGTTTGTGAGACTCACTGAACAGGCTGAGCACTTTGGTAGCTGAGGGAATCCACCAGGAGCACTTGGCTGAAGGAGGAAGTTCGTCTGGTTCTGCAGGAAACAGTCGGGTGGAGATGAACTGCAGGAGACGCTCCACCAGCTGCCGGAAACGTCTCACTGACAGCCTGAAAAGAAAAAAACGAACATTGACGTTCTGAAGGGTTTAAACCTGAATAACCCATACAAAAGTAATAGCAGAAAGGAGAGAGAAAAAAACTTAAGTAAGAGTACCTTTAATTTGCAGCAGTTTGCTAGTAAATTATCCCCACAGAAAACACTCATTTTCAAAGGTTCCTGACTCAGGATTCAGGACACATAAACAGAAGCAGGCTCACATTTGTACTCACAAGCTGTTTTAAACATAAAATCTTTTTTTTTTATTTTAACCTGGCAGGACGAGGATATTTTCTTACAAAGCAAAGAAATATCATCATAAATATATAAGGGGACATTTTAATAACGGCAATAATAAACAGCTTTTCCCTCAGGGTCCATGATTTCTCTCTTTTTAAGGCAGATCACATTTGTTTCTTGTGAAAAAAAGTGTGTTTATATTCTCAACACTTTTATGGACAATAAGAAGTGTAGAAATAATCTTTGCTCAGAAAAACGCGGACGACAAGAACACGCACACCGAATAAACTGCTGTATGGCTGAAAAACAATTAAATTTAAATTAAAATGACAGTTTGTAATACAAGAAAAATGTGTTGAAATGTGCATCCCTGAGGGAAAAATGAACTTTTCTTGTAAGCAAGACATTACAGGTGCTGGTCATAAAATTAGAATATCATGAAAAAGTAGATTTATTTCAGTAATTCCATTTAAAAAGTGAAACTTGTATATTA